CGAGTCTTTAATAAACAAAATCTGGAATTGGTGACAGTTCTAGTCCATTTTAAACTTCAGAAAACACGTCCTCAATTTTAGGGCACTCCTGAAGCCGCCTCAGCCAGCATCTAAATCCTCGGCATCGACATATCGAAAGACGTACAGTTACAGACCATAGTCACTTGGAAAGGAAGGCTAAATTGGCCTCTAAAAAGCTTGGTGTGCTCAGCAGAGGGGGACAGTGTTTTATTTTAGTAAACTATTTAGTAATCTGTGGTTTTATGCCGGCACACCATTTGGCCCTCACATGGAATACTGTTTTCATCTCTGGACCCCAGTGCTAGGTCCTTTCACTTGAACGCTCCAGCGAAGAAGTAGCTCGAATCTTTAACGACCGAGTTCTTTCTGATCGGCGCTATTCACTGGCGCTGCGAAGAGATATTGCATCTCATTGAATTTTTTATCGACGGGGAGTACTTAGATAAATTTTTCTAATTAGTTCCAGCCGCCAAATTCCATATTCATAGTTAGCCTAGGGCTGTCGTAACTCTAAATCAGGCACTTTATGCTAGGGCGAAATGGAAACGGCCGAGGACTCCGTTGCAAAATACAAAAGTGGAAGAACCAGTAGGAAGATAAATATAAATAAATAGGATAAAGAAGGCGTCCCTATGATAAAAATGTATTATCTACAGCTACAGCTGATAATATACTGATATAAATATTTTTTATTTAAATAGGTGACTAAATTCTATAATTGGACAGTTCTTCCACGTATATTATGTCCAGTGTATGCCCAAATATTATCTTGTTGAAATAGACTATTTTATATTGGCATATTTGAGATCTGAAAGAATTACATACAAATCTATTTTGAAATTTCGAAAACCATGACATTATCCTCAGAGTTCTTTCGTTTAACTAAAGTTGAAATAAATCGCACTAAAGTATAAATAATTTTACATATTTTAATATTATCTTAATCATTCATAAATTTTACGTATTTTAATATAATGGCAATCATATAATTTATTTGATAAAACGTTTATCTACAAGTAACGATGCCTGAACCAAATTAAAACATCGTAACAGCGAAGCTTCAGGAAGTGGCACAAATAGTCAATCAAGCTGTAAGGGACATCAATTTCGAGTCACAGGCGACTGAACTTCATGACAATCATCAACCGCAATCTCACGATCTGGACAGAAAAAACTGTTTCATACAGAAAAATAATTTTCACTAATTTTAAAAAGGAGTAGTAAGGAGTAGGTACTGTAGAATTACATCTAAATGAAACGTAAAATGTAGTGATTTCAAATTATTAAGTGCACATACTCAACGAACTAAATTTGAATTATTAACATAATTACTAATTATAATATTGTTTGTGTGAGTTGTGAAATACTAATATTTTTATTTACTCCAAACTCGCATAAATTTGCAAAAAATGTTAATAGCCATTTTCATAGTAAAAACTTTTTTCGTTATACTGAAGCTTTGGGCAAGAACTCACATTTTTATTTAGCGCTTTCAGATACCTAAATTCCATATGAACAAGCGCCCAGACCCGTAATAACAGTTATTAATTTATGATCCATGCAAATATTTATTTCGCATCATAGCCAAACCCAATCGAATCGTATCGCTCGTCGGCCAACCGAGGTCGTTGATTGAATATAATATTGTATGTACTAAATCTATTCTCAAATAATATGTTTATGTTATGGCTAAAAGCCTAAGCTAAACCAAGGCGTATAGTTGCACTCAAATGCAATTGATTAAAATGTAGGGTTGAATCAAGTCCAAATAATTTATAAATATTATAAATACCAATATAAAATGCGGCTTTGTGGCCACACCTACCTACTGTCATAATCATTTTAATTATTATTCGCACTTATCTAGTTTTACCCGAAAACAATCTTCCCACCTTGTTTTTAGGGTTCCGATCCCAAAAGGAAACCAACGGGAACCTATTACTAAGCCTCCGCTGTACGTCCGTCCGTTCGTCTGTCTGCCAGCGGGCTGTATCTCATGATCCGTAATAGGTAGACAGTTGAAATTTTCACATAATGTGTATCTCTGTTGCCGCTATAACAAAAAATAACAAAAATTAAAATTAAAAATCAAAGGGGCACCCCTACTAGAAACGTGGTTTTACTTACATATTATTAAATCTTGTACGATGTTACGGAACGCTTCATGCGCAAATCCGAGTCGCACTTGGCCGGTTTTTATTTAGTTTTAGCTCTGAATAAAGCGAACACGCCTAAGTTTAACCAACCACAATCGGTTGCAACTAGTAGTTGTAGCTGACTAAACCTACACCTACCTACTAGGTGTATTTGCACTTCGTCTTTTACAAGCCGTACGAGCCTTTTACTTACTCTTAGCCGCGGCACATATGTAACTAAAACATAGAAATTCCGTTTTTACACTTTTAGAAGGCTTCTCTCATAGCTGAGAAAGTTTTTAGAGCAATCCACTACGCTACTCCATAGCGTCTACTTCACATATCTTCGAATTATTGTGGTACTCACTGTGATTCTTTTCAGACAAGCTGGTTATCTTACGACGTTTTATTTTTACTTTGAAACTTACGGCGAACGCTAGAAACTTAAACTCAATAATAATTTCGTCGACATATCAATTTAGTTTGTAACGGATAGGGAGTGGGTGGTGGGAGGTGGTGTGATTTTCAAAATTAACTTGAATTGGTTCGTGTAAATATAATATAATATAAACACTGCTTTCGCATCGGTAGCCTTTCTTTTTCGAAAATAAATACACAGTCGTGTTTTTAAATTTGTGTTGCCATCCGTCCGGGTTTACCTGGATTTGTCTTAATTTTAAGTGCGACAGGGAAGCGTCCGGGACGGGTTCACAAAAAGTATCATTTTGTGCCAGTGTACTCGATATAGTCTATGAACTTACCTATAAAAGTTGAAAATCATTTTATTAACAAACTAAGCATACTAGGCTATTGATATGAAATATGAAACCAGTTGATGTAATTCTGAAGCTAATAAAAAACCCGGTCTCGATTCAATTTTTTCGGGAGTTATCGTGACCACATACTAAATCAACATCCGGACGTCCACGTAAAATTTTTTCAAACCGTTTTTTTTTCTTTTTTTTTATGACATGATTTTTTTGAAAATATCAGATGGATTAATTATAGTGTTTTCTTGATATACGGATACGCTTGGATACGGATATATATTATCGTATAAGTGCAATATGGCTATGAAAGAGGCATTTTAAGAACACAAAATTGCTTGACCTTGACGTGTCGATAGTAGAACACACCTATAACGCGTCGCATTATGAGGCGTGCAATATTAATGCTATTCTAGCCTTACTAGATAACTTATTAATTTATTGATTTCAATATAATAAATTACTTTTATTATAATATACTCGTCGAAACCATTATACTTTAATTTTATTTACTTAATATTGAATTGACAAACGAACTTACAAAACCTGATGGTATGTGTGCAGTGCAGCCTATGGACCACTGAAATCAACTTCAAACAAAGAAAGCTACAGATGCATTGTCATTTCGGGGGACTAAGATCACTTCAGGCCGAAATGCCTACAGCAGCTTTCTGCTTGGCGGCAGAAATAAGTAAGAGAGTAGTACCTACCCAGACGGATTTCTAGGTAGAAAAGGAGACCTATCATATAGATGGTGGGTATATCTATATATATGGTAGGTATATCGATGGTAGGTATCTAGAGAGATGGCCTAGTTAGATTTCGTTTTTGCTCAATTTAATGGCAATAAGATGATCGTTCCTAATCAGTTTAATTTCCAAATTATCACAGAGAGAGAATATTTTATAATTAATTAGTAGCTAGTGACCTACCCCGGTTTCGCACAATGGTAACCTCGGGGACGTATGTCTAAGTTTATTTACCGGCTGGCTGCGTAACGCTCCTATATTCGATGCACATTCAAATATTTTTGACACATATTCTTCACCCCATTCGTGCTACAACCATACAACTAATATAGCTGCAGCGTGGCTCTAACACGTACATACGTTAATCTGTAATACAAACGGTATGGTATTTCCTACTTCTATCTAGCTGATATTAACATCTTGAACATCAAGTTTGAGTAGTATATTGTCTTCGTGGCAGACACCCAGAGCCAGAGCAACTTCTTGAATAGCTCTGATGTGATGAAAGCCTCAAAACTCTTTCGTGGTAGGAAAAATGAAGAAGGCGACATCTCAGGACCCAAGATAAAATAACTTATAATCTGTTCTCAAATAATAAAAAAGAACAAAGAATATAATAAAAAATATAAAATAAATGTACTACGTAATCAGAACTTACAGAGTACTTTCAGAGTACAAAACTATTAGTATCGAAATAAATAACTCGACACCAAAAGGTATCGACACTTAATCATTATTTAGGGCTTTCCTATTGTTATTGAAACGGCAATAGACAATGACGTTTTGGCGGGAACTTGAACGGCGGCGGATTGCTTCTCCTGTATTATTGTATAATGGTTTGAGGTGGATTTTGATAAGTAGAGTTGCGATTTTCTATATTAAATGTCTGCGCGTGTGAACAATAAATAGAAACGGTAAAACAGATGCTCTGATGGTGATGTGAATCTCAAGATAAGGTGTCTGTATGGTTAGGCGCTTTGAGATACTATCACCAATTGTCTGCTAGCTCAAGTTGCCGTCAAAATCTCCCTAAAACTACGCAATGTGTCGCATCAACTTATTGTGACAGTGTACTATAATGGATTATCACTTGATACAAGATAAATGAAGACATGGCTTAAAGAATAAGCATCCAAGCCAACAATCCTAATAAAAAAAATCAATGAGTGGAGGAATAACATTGACAGTTGACAGCTAGAAACAAACAAATGGTGACGGTATACAGTAAAGGTAAAGACAGCTCATCGCTTTTGTATACTGTGTTATAAAGTAGTTTTTCTTCATTGTCATAACAATAATCGTTTTTATTGCAAAATTCCAATCTAAAAATGTGGGATCCTACGCACGTACAAGTTACAGTTCAAAGAGCTCGAGGATTAATAATCAAAGGTAAAAACGGAACAAATAACTGTTTTGTTACAATTGCCCTAGGCAAAGAAAAATTTCAAACTTCCGTGAAACATAAAGCGACTGAGAATGTCGAATGGTTAGAAGAATGTGAATTGCGTATTCCGTCTCACGGCAACACTGCAGAAATTGTTTTAAAAGTTTATGATGAGGATTTTGTTAAAGATCACTTATTAGGTCAAGTATCGATTCCGTTAAAAGACCTCGATGTTTATGAACGTCCACGAAATCGTTGGTATGCGTTACAAGGAAAGACTGGTAAAGAAAATGACAAGAAAAGAGGTGAACTTGAAGTTAAAATTGGTTTTACTGTAAAAGAAGGAAGTCTCACAGATCTTAGTAAAAAAGATAAACATAAATCGTCCTTATCTAGTTTAGCTCACAACGTTGGTGGAAGCCTTATGAGTATTGGAAGCATTGAAAAGCGCAAAGGTATTAAAAAGTTTGCTAAGAACCTTGGTTCTAAAATGAATTTGACTAAGAAAGATAAAAAAAGTGATTCATCATCTCTTGGTGGAAGTGTTGGAAATCTAAAAAATTCGACACTTTCTACACCAGATCATTCCACCCCAAAAAGACTACCAGGAGAAGCAGACCCAGGAGTTATAAGTGAGGATGATGATGAATTTGCATTTGATGATCTGTCGCACAAAAGTTCTGGAAGTTCGCTTAATGTCCACACACTCCCTAGAAGCCAAAAATATACTCCTTCTCCCATTAATGCCTCTCTTGAAAACCTTGGGGGTGGTGAATTTTTAAGAAGATCCACAAGCAGCAACTTAGCAAATCCTGATAAATCAGCCCCACAAAAACCAGTTCGCTTAAGCTTAGATACATTTACAGCACCACAACTACCAGCACAAGTATTAGATAAAAATGATGAATGGTCCCAAAAACTTTATTCTCGTCCAAAATCCAATAGCCAGACTCTTATTGATAAAGAAAAATCATCAAGCCTTGAAAGAAACAAAAAACTTGACAGTCCAAGTTCCTTGAAAGAAAAACCAAGCCCAAAATTCTTTAAAAAGTTTGGTAATAATAACAAACCAAAGAAATTATTGGAGGAGCGGATAATAGTCGGAGAAGAAAATATTGTTGAAGAGGATTCTGTTAACCCTGCCTTTAATAACATACCAAAAACGGTTTTACAGCAGTTTGATGGTAAGACTCGTGAAGATTTAATTGTGATGATTTATAGCCTTCAGAAGGATGCAGAAGCAGAAAAGAAGAAAAATAAAGACTTGGAAAACTATTTAGATGAGCTGTTACTTCGTGTAATGGAAACTACACCAAGAATTTTACAAAATCCATACGTAAGAAATAACAGCATGCATATCAGAAACAAATAAGTTTACTTAAAACAAGAAACATGTTATATTACGTAAGTGTTAAACTTCATGAGTGAATTATTTTGTTCTAATAATCACAATTTTGAACACATTTCATACTATTTTAAATTCCATCCATCCATTTAAAGTTATACAAAAGGTATTAATTGTGTCATAGTGTTTATATTTAAACATATTATGAAAAATAACTTAAAGTATACATCTTAACTACACTGCGACACAGTATTATAATTAAGAAAGGTAAGTTCTTGTCTTTTTAGTAATGTAATGAGATTTCTAGTTTAAGACTTGTTAAAATATTGTCATTTCATTCTTACATTTTGTAATCAATATGGTAACAATGCATAGAAGATATTATTTTTTTATTATTTTCAATCAGTCACTGATAGGATAGTTTATCATCCAACACCTAGTGCCTTATATTGGACTAAATCTGTGATATTGCAGAATTGATTTATTACGAAAATGTCATAATTCTCAAAATGCCTTGAATAAGTAATTTGTTAGTCATATTCATCACATGCTTGAATTCATTAATATTTAAAATTCCTTTTTATTTATTTTTAAGTCAGTGCCAAATTTTACAGCATGTTTATCCTGTTCAATTAACCAATTATAATATAATAATTCATACTTACAAACATACCTACATTCATATAAATATATGAATAATACAATATTACCCGCCCTTTGAAAGAATGAAAGATAGATAATTATGATTGCCCAAAATTAAGAAACATTAGCTTTCACCAAAGTCAATTAATATCCTTTATTATTTTTTCGATGATTAAAAAAATAAATATGACGGATGACTTATCTTTTAAGCAAACTGCAAACTGACTCATGTTTAACAAACGGAGCATGTTTGTTTTTATTATCAAAATACTTCAAATTTTTTAAACAAATAATATGAAAAATAGTCATTGAACCAATAAATTGTTATTGTAACTACTTAATAAAAAATATTTTTCAAATCATTAAAATGTAAAGCTAACAAAAACACTACTTATAAAGAAAATAACTGAATTGCAATATACATTTTAAATTAGGTATGTTAGTCAGCAATATTTTGTTAATAAAACCTATGTAGGTAAGTAGTATTCTTGTGTCATATTTAATTCATTGAACACTTAAGGATGCATAAATTTAAGACAAAATAAAGTTTATGTTACTAATCATAATCATAACTAAGCCTCTAAATCAGAAAATCGTAAATAAATAAAAAATAATAAATGTTCTTAATTTTCTCTCACTTAAAGTAAAAAAGTAAGTCTTTCGAACAGTAGTAATTTGAAAGTGCTAACTTTGGGGAGTTTAATTTTAAAATGAGCCTAGAATCATTCCTAAAAATCATATTGGTAAGCAAATTCTTAACTTGTTATCAAGAGGTATCATTTCACTATCTTTCATCTTAATTATTCTTTAACGGCCTTATGAATCCACTGATGGATATTAAACCTCAAGAGTACTCCAAATATACAAAGTCTTAAATGATTTAGCCATACTAACCATCCTGAGCAAATGAGTAAAATAGAGCAAAGATTGAAGCCACTACAGAACAATTTCCCATGTGCAATATTAATTAGTTCATAAGTAAATATATACACCCTTCCAATAGTTGTGTAATAAATGGTGTGATGTTTTGTGTGGATATGTAAAAAGCTGATGATACAGGTCTGAAAATAATTGTAAGTAATTTTGTTATTCAACTTTTAGACAGTGAACACTTATTATTACTGAACAAATCTTTATTATTCACTGCAGACTAAGGTGAAACTTTAATATATGTAATTGTTATGTAATATGGTTTCTTTTATTAGGTGAATTACTGTCTGCTTATTAAAATTCATAAGAAATGAAGAAACAATTCGAAACTTTAGTAACATCAATATAAATTTAAATGTTATGTATTTAGTCAAATATTGTATTAAATATAAGTAACTTATGTTTACTTAACAAACTACTAACTCTTAAATTATTTAGAATATCTATCTAAAAGTTAAGAGTACAGTATGTTTATAAAATATCTTATCTTATAAGATTATCATTAATAAAAGTAAATAAATTAAGTTGATTTACTAAGATTGACAATTTATTCTTCTAAACATACCTATTACATTTATAAAAATAAGTGTATTATCCATAAAATTGTAACTAAGTCGAAATAAGCAGTCGATTCCTCAGTTACTATTCCTTTCAAAAACAATCTTCCTAGACTTCTTCAACCAGTAAAATTCCACTGCTGAACATATGTTTTTACAATGGCATCTCGTATCTTCGACGTTGTTCCCTATTCGTCAGCCTTAGTATTTAACATCAAGCATAAAAGAGAAGGTTATATCGTTTTTGAAAGCTATCCAAAGTATTCCAGCATTTCTCATGCTTGGTTCTTACGACACCTAAGAGAGGAAAAGGGGAAATAATTTCTCTTACCCGAATACCATATTGTTTATTAAACTAGTGATATTTTTACAACCAAAGCCCGTCAACAGTAATCGTGCATTTAACTAAAATCAAAGATAAAACCCAACCTAAATATATTTGATGTCGTCTTGGTAGATCTGCCTGTATCTTCAGATTGGAGGTTAGATAAGATCCATTAGGAGACATACAATCACAGCTCAGCCAGGCCCAAAAACCAACATTCTGTTTTTGGATATGGCTGGGATTCGAACCTTAAATATATAGTTATATCACAAAAATTATAAGTCTGTAAAGTTAAATTCAAGCAAAAACAAATTAATTCCTTTAAAAGATTATTTATGGAGATACCTCTTTTTTTAAAACTGGTAAAATAAAAGAAGCAATTTCTAAGCAAGTTGGTATCACGGGGATAAAACACATCATTTAAATAAGGTCTCCCCTCCCCATCTCATCTCGTAAACAGTTCACTGCTTAAGTCCACCTACTACTAACATTACTATGTTCATGTTACGTTTTATGTATGTAATATAGGAAGGCTTCCACAGTACATAAAGGCCAAATTAGTTTGTACTATATCTATCTAATATTTTTACCCAACTGCGCCAGAAGAAAGGTAATGATAATTTCTTGGATAATTTTCGAGTACGTTGTATGTATGTGTCTATTTCGTTGGCACGATCACGACGTTCGTTAGATTCGTCTTAATTGTGGCTTTATGTTTATAGTGTATTGCATCTGCAAATACAAAAAAAGGAAGGGGAAGGTTTTTTTCACTAAACTGTTAACGCAGTCAGGTTTTATTCAATTACTGTTTTACTATTAACCGGTTCAGTGCGGGTGACACGCCAGGCGTGTCTTTAAAATCGTTATAACTCGTTCAAATTGCTTTTTTGGAAAATTTATCCCGAACAAAATATTCATTATTTTGCGAGTAGTTCATGCATGCAGCTTCGTTTCTGGATATTTTGAAAATTTTAAATTTTTAGGGGTTGACAACCTTTTTTTAACGTGTGCATGGTACTATTTTTACTTTGTGGGTTTTAAATCATGTTATGGAAAAATTGTCTAATAAGTAACAAATAATAGCACTCATTGCAATCGCTCACAAACTCAAGTTGTAAATAAATTTCTGGAAAACAAGTCTCCTGTTAAAAAAAAACAATGCGTTTGTCTTATTGTTTAATTTTGCTTAAAATGGTTGAACTACCGTCTTATTACTATCATATGGCCGAATAGACCTACGAAGTACCATGTGCTCTTGTGATATGGTATTAGGTTTATTTTTGCTTGAAACAGTTCGAAACCGTTCATGCATAAAAAAAGTTCGCTAATAAATAGTCTTTTGTCAATCCGCCGCCGTATAGCACCGGCGTTTTTTTCCTTTTGAAAACACTTGTTTTGCTATTCTTACTAATTAGACGTTTTCAGATCGACTTTACTTTTACATTTGTATAACATTAAATAATATTTAACATTTGTAAATATCAATGAATGATATACCTTTTTTTTCAAATTAAGGTTCTTCATTGTTTGATATTTACAAATGTTATTATTAGGTGAAAATTTAATTTAATAAAAACCAAGGTTCCCAGGGTGATTTAGCTGTACCTACTTATATAAATGATTTTTTATAACAACAAAAATAGTACAAAAGGTTTGTAATTTCTTCATAAAAATAAAGTCACTTTCTCACAATTTCAAAGAAAACGCGTAAAAGAAACACGTAGTTACCCACTAAAAACAAGTATCCTTCCATTTGTAACTTATGTTTGATGTCAAATAAACTTAATTAGGTCTAAACAAGTAAAAAAAGCATAAAAAAGAACATTACTTTTACAATTAATACATAAAAATATTGGCGGATGGCACAATAGGCGTGTCATTTTTATCTGTGGCGCTTAACACGCCCGGCGTGTCATGAAATATTTGTTCGCCGCCACAGCTAAAAGTTGTCGAAAATTGGTGCCGCAACGAATCGGTTAAGCATGTTAAAAGAAAATAAAGTTAACAAGACACATTGGGTGTGAAAGTTGCGAAAACTATACACACAAGGGGTTAAGTGGTGGCATCCTACCGGTTCGCGCAAGCCGGTTCGTAATTGATGCATCGATTGTAGTTTGAGCGAAAGGTAAAACGAAAAAAACACTTGTAATAGCGACTTAGATTTATGTAGGTAATATACGTGCATTCTTTATCACGTATTTTACGTGGTAGAGCCATGCTGCAGCTATATTAGTAGTATAGTTGTAGCACGAATGGGTTGGCTCGACCGGGGAAGGACCACGCTCTCACAAAAAAAAAACAGCGTAAAATAGCAGCTTAACGCTGCAGTGTTTCGTATGGTAAGTGTAGAGAAGCCGGAGACTCTTTTTACTGGCAAAGAGGCATTCCATCTTATTCCTCACGGGTGACAACGCATCTGCATCTTGAGTCTTTATTGAGGATAGATGTAGATGTCTATGGGTCACAGTAACAACTTACCATCAGATGGACTGTGCTCGTTTGTCACCCTATCCTATTTAAAAAAATCACTATTCCGGACCTATGGCGTCAAAATTTGAAATCATGATCACTATCATCATGACCCATCACAAGACCACTGCCTAAGCCCTAGGAGCCTAATGCCACAAAGCACGATCTTGAGTCATCTGTATCCACAGACTTCCTACATCTTACCATGTCTTCACTCCATTTTAGTAGTGGCCGATGGATTTTGCCAAAGTTGCTACGCTTGGCATGTGGGTTGGCAACCGCAGTTCTTTTTTAATTGCGTTGTAATCAGAACGTTTGTACTGTTCATCTCCTGTATTTAGTTTCCTTCTGTTCACTGGAAGATATTTCACGGACAGGTTTTTTTTTAATAAAAGAAACTCCATAGTACTTACTTTAATGGTAATTTTTTTTACTGATGACGCTCAGAGAGCGTTTCGTTAAACTATCTCTCGGGGTCTCCCCCTCATCGATTCAGAGATTTTGCCATAGTTACCACGCTTAGTATGCGAGTTGACAACCGCAGTTTTTTATTATTTTGGGTTATCAGTAAGTTTTCCTTTTCTTTTTTCTTTGAGTTTCCCTCGGTCGCCTCTTACGCCACCCACGGTATGATATGGGGGATATAATATAGAGACCTATAAAGAAAATGAAATGTATTTTCCTGTAAAGCAAATTGACCAAACAAGTCATCTTTTGCTTCATTATCAGCCCGTAAAGTCCGCTGCTAGACATGGACTTCTGCATTTTCGTCACGCTTGGCAGTCCGTTTGACGATCGCAATACCACAGACATCTCGCACCTATCCTTCCCAGACGCTAGGATATTTTACGCCTGAAGTACGCCTAAATTGATGTTTATACCACAATCTATCGGACCACTAGATCTTTTTACAAATGAAAATTCTCATTGTCCACTCTTGACTCACGCGTCAGTCGCGTGATGAAGTGACCGTTTTTTGTAATTGTATGTTACGCGATGTCTTCTTTAATCGTGAACCGATTTTGATGATTCTATTTTTATTAAGTAGATTAAGCTTCGGGGGTGGTCTCATATATATTTGGAGAATAAAATTCCACAAATAGCAAAATAGGGAAAGAAATTTTTAATTTCTATTTACATGACATTGAAATTGTAATATTTGTTACCTAAAAATTAACTTTTAATAAAAACGAGTATAATTAAAATATGGTTAAATACGCGTCCTGTTTCTGTTTATTATCTAGTGTAGGTACGAAATAATACAATGACAATGATTGATTGAATGAATCGGGTTTATAAGAAATAAAAACACGTACCTATTATGAAAGAATAAATTTATTAAATCGCAATATTATTATGTATAAAACTTAAAAATTATTTATTTATTTATGTCTGCGAGATTTTACAGGAGCAGCAGCAGGAACTGCAGCAACATATGTTTTCTGTGACAGCTTGTTCATGTAGTAGATAGTTATAAGAGAAAATATCAAACTGAAAAAAGAGAAATTTTAATGTTATAAATTTGTATATGGTCCCTTGCTAGTAATGTAGTGTCTATCCTCTTACAAAGCATATCCTATTAAAATTGTGACACTCAGCACATAGAGGAAAGTTATATCGTTCTCAGAACCAACAAGGTCCCCCTGAGCGTGTACTTAAGTCGAACAAACACAAAAAACTCCATCAGCGAATTCTCTTAAATTCTGGAAAGTAAGTTTTATTTTATCACAGTTACCCAGAACGAGTGCAACTAATATATAAATTACAAGATACTTATTCGTTCATCATCAGACGACAAATGGCGTGGGAAAAATTGCACACCATCTACTGTAAGATAGTTATCTTCTACAAGAAATATATATAATATAGTGAATTGAATTAAACAGAGCCATTAATTAAATATTATGTAGTGTAAGCTGTAGTTTCCAATTTTTTTTAAAAAAGCAGCAAGCAGGGTTTTAAGGTGGATTCATTAAATGATGTTGTCTCTATATTCTTTTACTATTTTGCAAAATATGTTATAGTGTTATACACAAGCGGTATTTGTATCTACTCCCTATACAGAAGCCAGTGGTATAAGTCTGACAGACAATACAGGAGACAAGAAACTGGCAATGAATAAACTTGCACTATATAAAACAGAACCATATGTGTAGTAAATACCTACTAAGTAGGTCAACTCCTTCATTGTACCGCGTCACATCTAGTTTATGTCTTCATAATATTTCATAAATACATTTTTGTTTTTGTTTGCTTCGTAAAATAAAATTTTCACATAATTTTATTCTAAAAATGTTTCAAAATAGACATCCAGTGAACAACTCATCTTCGCTTCTTTGTCTATAATATATATTATATAACTAGCTGTGCCCGCGGCGTAGCTCGCGTATACAGGTTTTACATAAAGAATTTGTCGTTTAGGTAAGAGAATATTAAACGATTTATTTCATTACTGTATCAATAAGTGGTAACTAAATAAATCATTATCATCAAAGTTCTAAGTCGTTTATGATAGAGCTTCTGTGTAAACGACGTTAGAAGTAGGCTTAGCCGGGGTGTACACAAAAAGGTTACGGGGGCTACTAACGCGGGAAAAAGCAACATAGAGTTGGCCATGTGCAAAACAGTCAGTACTGAGGTACACTCCTACAACGCGTAAAGTTTGACCTTGCGCTTTATTTACGGTCATCGCATAACACACGCTCACTGTAACTGGGAACTGAACGCGCTTAAAACTGAAAGGAAAGTTACTTCTTAATAGAGGGTTTTTGGGCAGTGTTGCCAGATAAAAAAAACTCATTCAGCTCTAGGACAACACAAAAAGCGCTAGATTTCATGAAAACAGCGCTTTAAAAAAGCCCTAGATTTCGCGCTAAATTAACTACAAACAAAGTTTGTGTTTTTTTATATAATCATAATAAAGAAAACAACTTTTTCTGGCAATATTTTTTTGATGTATCAATACTTCGCAGAACATAGACTTATAATTATGGCAATTGCTGTCAACAGTAGTTAGTACTGTACGAACAATAAAAATGTCATTAATTGTTTTAAAGTGCAATGTATTTCGCAACTTAGTTTCAGATGTCAGCATCTGATTGCGGTTGCTACACAGTTTCTTTGTGTTATAACTTCTAAGTAACTTTTAACTTAGCTGTGCTCTAAGCAACTGACTGAAACTGAATAAAGCAAAATAAATGCGTTGCCAAAACCATGAACGAAAACTTTAATAAAGGGGATTATCCCCGCTTATAGTCGTCGGTAAAAAAATCAAGTTAATCATCCTAAAGGGGAAGCCAGGAGATCCATAGCTCAGGGTATCCTAGTTTGGAGTCGTCTCCCATGCTCTTTGTTTTGTGGAAAGAATATGTTTGAAAAAGATAAACTGCAATGTACTATTTGTGGGAAAAAATAATAAAGGTCATTATTATTATTATCGGTAATCTAGACTAACAGTGCTGCTATAAAAGAGTTAATAACCCGCTAGTCGCTAAAATATTGAAATGTGTGCTAAATACACCAAAAAGCGCTGGATTAAGCTAGGTGCTAAAATTTCGAAATGCGCGCTATACATTCCAAAAAAGCGCTAAATCTAGTTCCCAAAGCGCTAAAATGGCAGTACTGATTTTGCGTATATTATAAATACAATATCACGACATTTCGTTGCAAAATTTCTATTTTTGGTCGGGTTCCGTTGTATAGCTTCGATGGATATAAATTTGTTCAGTAAGTCTAATACAATTCATCGGCGAAAAATCTCAACACAGCAATTCAGAAAAGTTTGTAATTTGTACAACTCCATCTATTACGTCCTTTGTGTGAGAAAACATCCTTTTTAAATCTCTTTTTGTGTTTTAAGTATAAATATATTAATTATTATGGAACGTTATTTTTACACACAAATCTTTTTATTACTATTTCTGAGATTTTATGGCGCCATTGAACAGATTCGAACCTACATTTCAAAATAATAATCATTGCTTTCGATAGAATTAACCAATTTTAATAAAACAAAGATTAAATGTAATTCGAAGATACGCTTTATGATTTTCTTAACGATTTCTTTGAAAATAAAAGATGTTTACTTTAGACGTGATGCGTTCATATAATAACAGACAAATAGAGAGACAGACAATTCTAAAAATTATAAAATGTTCTTATTTAATTATTTTCAGTTCCCCATAATGATTTTAGCCACCAAAATATATATACAATGTACAGAAAGAGACACAACATGTTATCATCATTTTTATTATATGTATATATTTAAAGAGAGATGGCGCTGCTAACATCAATTCTAAAAATAAAAGAGATTAATTGACGCGATAGATACATTATATAAAACGCAAGAGAACTTATAAATCAGTGCCTGCACAGTAAGCAAAAAATAAAGTTTGACTCTCGCCAAAACCAACGCAATTGTTAATAGCTCTTTTAAAATTTGATTTACCACATAGAGTACTCGGCGGTAAAGAATAAATTGAGTTTGTCAACACGCAGTAGGGCAGCGAGTAATATAATAAAGATTACTGCTAGTAAATATGAAAACTCATCTACAGGAAAAAACCACATTGCAGTTGCATCCCATTTTCACAACACCACCATCTATCGAAGAAATGGGTTAACTATTGTGCTTCAGATTTAGTTAATAAGGTTAATATATTTTTGTATAATATATTTAATACGTTCTTTAATACTTTTGTTTACTGCGTTTTAGATATACATAATTATATCATTATTTTACATAATTTAACTATGATTTATGATATGATATTACTTTAAAATGCACTTGATGACTCAAACAAAGCCACCGTTGAGCAAATTCGTACCTATACTTCCCTACCCATACTTCAGAATATTCATCATAACTTTTGATTGAATGAACTGATTTTAATGAAATAAAGACTAAATGTAACCCGAAGATACACTTTATAATTTCCTTAACAATTCTTATGATATAAATTAGTACTTTATACGTGATACGTTAACAAACAAACAGACAGACAGACAGACAGACAGAAAATTCTAAAAATGGTAGAAATGTATTTAATTACTTATTTTTAGTACCCCTCAATCACTTTTATTACAAAAATATAAAATGTACAGACATCTGCTATTTACAGTTTTATTATATGTATAGATATTGGTATCTCATTTTATATGAAAACTTCCTGCTGCGTATGCGGCACCTATAGTTTTTACATATTATGTGTAATAAATACTAATAATGGGTCAACTCCTTTATTATACCGCAAAATACCTACAAGGCTGTCTCAACGTCTAGTGTCACAAAAACATTTCCTGAGTAATAATATCATAACATTATTTTTTATCTATATTACTCGTAATAATTTATTTTTCTAAACAAAGATACAAACTGATTACTACTTTACAAAACTGGTTGCCTTCCGCAGCTTCACCTGATTCGTCATGATGCAAACAAAAGTTTGTACTGGTACCTGCCTAATTTTACTATATTTTACCTAGATAGCAGTATCTCAGGTATTTTGCTTAAAATATTGGGTAGGGGGTTGAACAGAATAAATAAAACAGGTTAAAATTATATGTTGGTTCTGTACCATCTCATTACAGATGTGCAACCGACAAATATTAATAGGTTTTTTTAATAGTCTTTTGTCGAATTTAATGATATAATGAATTCTCATCCTTACATATAATACAATTAAAAATCGTGACGGAAAGCAATCACATGATTATTAGAATTCAATTCTACTTAAAGCATGACACTAAGTCAAACTTTTCCCAATATTTCAAAATAATACTGAGTAATATCATGTTGTTGGGTGAACACCAAACGCGTGCAACTGATTGTGTGTACGTGGCACTACTAAACGGGCATACCGGTACGCAAGCCAAACCGACCGGTACCACTGCAGACGTCGGGGGCAGGGGGGGGGGACTCTTCTCTCCTTCATACGCGCCCCATGGTTGCTCTGTCTAATCGCCGATACTAATAGTGGCTCAACCACCATTAGTATTTATTTTATTACACATATGACAGAACTATGCCTCACGTTCGAAACCTACAGTACAGTCAGCAGTCAATTAAATATGACGATGTAAATAATGCTCTATCGAAATTAGTACATTGGTTTAACGCCAACAATTTGCTCTTAAACGGCAATAAGACAAAATGTATTAAATTTACAATACCTAATGTAAAACATTCAAAAACCAATGTGCTCTTAAATGGCGAGGAGTTGAGTCTTGTGGATACCACTGTTTTTCTCGGTATTACTATTGACGCGAAACTTCAATGGGGCCCCCATATATCTAAATTAGCAAGCAGACTTAGTTCTGCAGCATATGCTGTAAGAAAGATTAGAAGTCTCACAGATGTTGAGACAGCTAGGTTAGTGTATTTTAGTTACTTTCATAGCGTAATGTCTTATGGAATTTTGCTATGGGGTAATGCGACTGATATTGAAGCTATATTTGTTTTGCAAAAGAGAGCCGTACGGGCGATTTATAATCTAAATTGTAAAGAGTCCCTTAGAGAAAAATTTAAAGAAATAAACATATTAACTTTGGCATCGCAATATATTTATGAAAATGTAATGTATGTACATAAAAACATAAATAGCTTTAATAAGAATAAGGATGTTCATACCTTAAACACTAGGAACAAACATAAGCTTGTAATGCCACTTACAAGACTCCACAGAATTAGTAATTCATTTATGGGGCAATGTATACGCTTTTACAACAGAATCCCAGAACATGTTCAAAGTTTGTCAATAAACAAGTTTAAAAGTTTTATTAAAGAAAAACTGTACAAAAAGGGTTATTATAATATCAAGGAATACATGAATGAAAATAACCCCTGGGAATAAGGTGATCGCCACCATGCTGGTTCTATGAAAATTAATTTAAAATTGTATAAACAAAATTATTGTTAAGTGAAATTATGTTTTTAAATAAAACTAATTTTACGGATTTTATCGCGTATATTAACTTATTTTTATATATTCCCGACGTTTGGGGACTGAGTTGTCAAACAACTCAGTCCCCCGTGACCACAGGTGCTGGAAAGCACCCGAAACGTCGGGAATATATAAAAATAAGTTAATATACGCGATAAAATCCGTAAAATTAGTTTTATTTAAAAATGTGTAGTGTTCGCGTAAATATAAGAAATCATTATGAAATTATGTTTAAAAAAAAATCCCGCCGGGTTTCTTGCTGGTTCTTCCCAGGACAGAGGTATTTTCCGAACCAGTGGTAAATAAAATAATGACTTTCAATAAGTATTATGTAATAATCCATATTAAATAAAAATCATTCTATTCTATTCTACACCCATGATGAACACAAATATTTTCTACTTCATCAGCCCGTGAGTAGTATTGCTGAACAAGGGCCGCTCCCGTTAATACGGATATGGTGCTGCACTCAATTCAATGCATAAGAAAATGTAAAATATAGGGAAAAAAGCTCGGTCTTCATATTATCGATTTGTGTATGCTTAATGCTCATGTGTTTTATGACATAGTTCACGGATGTGAAAGCAGCTTGGCTGATTTTCAATTATATGTTATTCGACAAATGATCTAAAAGTATAAAGTGCAGGAATTAGAGTATTCGTTACCCACTACTTCCCAGTCTACTAGTGCATTACGATTGTCAGCATATCATCTTGCTGACCATATGCAGGAATATACAGAAGGTAAAAAATCCAGAGCATGTTTTGTGTGTCAACACACAACATTAAAGAAAAGGTCTCGCAAAGAGTCTCGCTTTATGTGCAAAGTGTGCCAAGTAACATTATGGGTGGTTCCGTGCTTTAAAATGTATCATAAAAATGAACACTTAGTTTAAATGTTGAATTTATCCATAACTGTAAAGGGTACGCATATCCTATCTCTAAAATATCTGTTTCCTGGCATCGCCAGTTTGGTCTTGGCTTTTGAAGAGTGTAGACGTGCATCATGTCACAAAGTGATGAATCACCGCCATTATCGCCATCTATTCTCCCCATCTACTCGGCCGAAAAAGAAAATAAAAAAAAAATTGCCATTGGTAGATCAACGCAGACCGAAAATCATTACATATGCTATGTGAAATCGAAAGAAGATGACTACACGGCCTATATAAATTTCCCTGCTTCAAGATTCTTTAATCAAAGGCCAGAAGATCCTTGAAATGAGCATTTTGGTACATTAATTGCATTTGAAATGGAGTCAGTCCCATATGAGATCCGATCGCAAGTGTATATGGACATAATAAATTTGATATGTAACGCTCGGGAAGGACCTATATTAGATCAAGGTCCATGCCCATCTCCTGAATATTCATTAGTTTTATGAAGAGAATTAACACTGATTAAGTGCAATGTGATTAATGAAAATTAAGACTGATTAAAACTAGTGATAACACACAATAAGAATAATGTTATCAAGGCAGTGTGTACATCCATAGATTTGTGGTCAGAGATGTATGTGGGTGGCCTCTAATAGATTTTTTAAGTTTTTAATTAATTGCTTTATACTTCGATAAATTGAACACATAAACTAATACTATTACACTGTTTCTTTAAAAAAAATATAAATGTATATAGGCATATTACTTAAGTAATAAAAACTTTTTCCATACAAGATTGAAATAAATATACTTACCATGTTGTAAAACAAATCCTATGTACCATGCCGGCTGCAATGAGTGATATTGCCATTGATAAAATAATTTCTGGAAGTTTCAGTTGAAAATTCTTACCAAACAAAGTAGCTTCTAGATTTCCAACTGCCTGAACATATTTATAAGGAATGGCTTATTTTTATTTATCAATGAAAATTTTGTCAATTTACTTAAATAAATATTAAGTGTATGCTCAATACATTGTACTACCAGAGTCCTTTAAAATATGTAATATTACAAAATGCCCTTTTTATAATTTTGCAGATTTAATCTCAATATATCATCATCATCATCATCATCATTACAGCCCTTCACAAGTCCACTGCTGAACATAGGCCTCCCCCAAAGAATGCCACAAAGCACGGTCCTGAGCCACCTGCATCCATCGACTTCCTGCATGTCTTACCAGGTCGTCACTCCATCTCGTGGGGGGACGCCCTACACTTCGCCTACCGGTACGAGGCTGCCACTCGAGAACCTTTCTTCCCCATCGGTTGTCGGTTCTTCGAGCTATATGGCCGGCCCACTGCCACTTCAGCTTACTAATTCGTTGGGCTATGTCGGTTATTCAATATATAACGGTGACATAAATAATAGTAATAATATTGATATTGTAAGTGCTGCAATATCAACACTACTTTCTAATAACATGGTAATGTTACATCATCCTATTTTAGCAGTAGCTCTGCAGACTGACCGTCAGTCCTTTTGGAGCGATTATGACATATCATGTCAGGTATACCTCAAAACTAAAATACAAGATTGTACATGTGTTGCCAGTGATGACTTATAGGTCAGATACGTTGTCCTTCAGTGCTGGCTGTTTGAGGCAGCTCAAGGTTGCTCAGCGAGCTCAGAGAGTGAGCTTTAGGGGTTTCTGTGTGATAGACTTAGAAATGAGGATATCCACAGTAGAACCAGATACCGATAGTGCCCAACAGATTAGTAAACTAATATGGCAATGGACCTGGCATATGTAATGGCGTAAAAGGCGCTAATGCACACCTCCTATAGCAGCATCGTGTCTGCTATGCATCTAAGGCTAAGTAATGTGAATGAGTTAGAATTAGAATACGAGTGAGTCTTAAGCTTAATTCACTATTTATTTTTATAAAGGATACTGTCACAATAAACATAAACATAAGTGATCCAAGGTAGCCTCCAAATATAATTGTTATAGGTGATTTTATTAGAATAGGCTTATACATTTGCATCCCTGAAAATATCAAAAGGGTAAGAATGCTGGATAACACGAAGGACGTGGCACTATTTACCGCTGAAACAAAATTAAGCATTTATATTTTATACTGGTATATGGTAGATTTTAAGTACCATCATATTATAATAAAAAAATAAATACCCATTTCTAAATTATTAAATAGGAATGATTGTTATTGATTTATAACTTTACGAAGCAACGCAAACCGGCAAAAAGTAACCACAAACTAGGGTGGTCGATGATCATCGATGTCAAGAATGAAAACATCGATGTTGCCACATGTCAAACATCGAAACATCGATGTCAATAAACCCATAATCGATTATTGGGTACTTGCGAATCCGCGAAATGAATATCAACTAAATCTTACATCTCCTCTAAAATATTTAAAATTTTAAATAATTCGGAATGCTTGAACGCATCGATAAACTAAAAATATATCATTATGGGGTATCAAGTTTAACTGTCAAATGTCAAGTGTAATGTCGCAGTTGTCACTAATTTCGTTTGTTATTAGTATCGTTGTTGGTTATCTGTTCCTCTATCGGTTGTTTTAAAAAAAAAACCGATGGTTGATTTTAAACACGATCCAATGCACGATTAGAACAATGTTATCGGTTCTACCTATCTAGAATTAAAAAGAAAACTTGCAGTGAGATATTTGACCACAATCGCTACATCAGCACCATCTGAGCGGTTATCTACATACTTCAAAAAGGAGAAGGTACTCAATTCCAGTGTATGTTCTTTTTTTATTTGAAATTTGGTGCTTCACATGTGGTCCCATATAAATTAGACTCATATAAGTCTGACCAATAGGTTTTGAGTTATCCTTAAGTCAGTTGTACAAAATTTTATTTTTAAATTGTTTTCATCCCTACCACAAACTAAAAAGCATAGAGTAACCAGGGTTGCCAACTTTATTTTTTTAGGTGATCGTACCATAAACTAGAAAAAATCGTATTTTGCTAAGAAATAAAAAAAAATTAGTGCGCATTAAAATTCCAATAAAATAACGGACAACAACAAAATATGTCAAACAGACGAAAAGAAAAGTACGTACCTAATTTCTTAAGATAAACACAACAGGATACCAACCACTTTGTTATGGAAGCCACACGAAACAAAAAACACCAGTAGGTATACACACTAAAACTGAACCAAGAAATGGGGTTGTTATAAACTAATTTGCCTACTTCCGCGTAAAGAAAGAAAATTATATGTCCTGCCCAGTTTTAAGGGGACCTCCCACCCTTCCTCGATCGCGCGCACTTTACCCGTCGCCGTCAATCCCAGCACTACCACACCCAGCACCACCACACCAGGCACGACACACCACTCTAGAAAATACATCATGGTCTGGGAGTGCTGGCAAAAGACAAGCTTCGTGATAGGGCGTTTCAGGACTGCTTAGTTTTCAGCGCGTACATACCCGTCCTTGCCGGGGTGCAGATCGATGACCTTTGCTAAGGCCCAGTTAGAAGGGGTTAAATATTCTTCTTTCATCGCCACTATGCTATCCAATTCTATATTCTTCTGAGGTATATGCCACTTGCTTCGTGTTTGTAATGTATGCAAATATTCTGCAGACCACCGCTCCAAAATTCTTTGTATATCTGCTCAGTTAGTTGCCACCTTGTTTTTACGTTTTCAATACTGTTATCAGATACTGGTTCAGACAGAATAGGACCGCCGATAAGAAAGTGGGTGGGTGAAAGGTAATCTATGTCTCCTGGGTTTTCAATTAAAGAACATAGAGGCCTTGAGTTGAGACAAGCTTCTATTTGCGTAAGCAGCGTTGAATATTCTTCGAAGGTAAGCTTCTGATGGCCAACTACAAGCTTCAGATGGTACTTTAAACTTTAACAGCGGCTTCCCATATGCCGCCCGCATTGCTCCACGCAGCCACTCCAACTCCTTCTAACTCCCAGCTGGCTAACGTTCTCGTGGAAGTCAGTGTTGATTGTTTGGAGTGCTTGTTTATATTCTCTTTGAAGTACACGTGTCCAAATCTTTGATTCTCTTCTCTATGTATTCCTTAGTTTTTTTGACTTCGGATCATTTTGAAATTGGTGTTAAGCTTTCAAACTGTCTCTGCAGTATGGCTTGCATGATGATAAATTATTAATTGAATATATAAGCTGCAAGTAAACACTGATGGAACTGTAACTTCCAAACGTCGGGTCCACTTAGTGCGTTCGTGTCCTCATCACAGTATGTATGCGCCTTCTCAATTCAAGTGGTGATCCGCTTGTGGGAGACTAGACGAACCGATTCACCACTGTACCAAAACACTAAACACTAAGATAGTAGTCGAAGGACCAAAATGTATGCGTAACTATGCAAATATATAATGCAGTACAATACAAAATTAAATGCTGTTAAGGAGTACCACTCGAATACTGAGATTGTAGGATGCAAAATAAAACACTGTTAACTGTAACGCCTTGCGAATGGTACTGAATTTATTATAAAAGAAAACATAATATGTACGATGCATTCAGTGGAGTAGGGTGCCTTAGAGGGGCCCTGTATCAAAATTTGTCGGGTGGCCCTAATGAAGAGTAAAGATTTTTCACAAAAGGAACATAAACTCTCGCACTGAATTAAAATAATTATATATCGATTGTAAGTTATTACTTACATTTAATACTCCTAGGAACTAAGCTAGCCAAACAATTCAAACCAACAAATTGTCCCATAGAAGTCCTTAGAGTTTTCGCTTACACACGTTCGGGGTCTCTGTAGTCCGGGGGCCCCGTATCATTGATACAGCTGATACGGCGGTGGCTACGCCCCTGGATGCATTAAATGACGTCAAACACCAGTTGGCGCTCCAATTACGCTTACATATATAAATGTACGAGTTTACTCGTACAAAATTAATGGAAAAAGGTAATCAACTCGTCTGCCAAGCGCGGCCACCAAGATAACTACTCTCTCAGTTGCAACTATGGTAATATAAAGCTTTTTTTTTATAGGAGAGGGGGCAAACGAGCATGCGGCTCACCTGATGGTAAGTGACTACCGCCGCCCATGAACAACTGCAACACCAGGGAGGGAATTGCAGATGCGTTGCCGGCCTTTTAAGAAGGAGTACTAGGAATATTTGTAAATAGATTTCCACCCGTGGCTCTATCCTCTTAGTAGTCTGTGGTTTTCAGACATGCCACCGTAACTTTGCTTTAACGTAAACTTAAGCTTTAAGGACAAGCATTCAAGCCAAAAATCTTAATAAAAAAATCAACGTAACTTTTTAGTCAAGCCACGCTGGCAGCACTGATATTTTTTGACGTTTTGAAGTGATAAGATAAGTGAAAAGGTATTTATATAATATACAATGTATATTATACATTACATTATACAGTAATCTATGTGATAAGCATTACTTAAATAAAAACAAATATCTGTTTCCGATAAGACTTGGATGTATGTAATGTAAAAACTTTTGCTTAAAATGTAAACCTTGATACTTTATTTACATTTTATTTTGTTTGCATGTTTCAGTAGTTTCATTTATGTTTATTTCTTTAATAGTTTGTGTGGTACATAGTTCAAAAATAAATCTAACTGGGGTGACATTATGTGTTTATTAAGAAGAATAGTTAAATTAAAAGTGCAAAATGTGTACAATTTAACAAGGACACTTGTAAGTGTAATTAAGTTTACTCTATTTTGTATTTTGGAAACTTCAATATTTAGTCTTGATCGAATACTATGAAAACACAAAAACGTAAAAACAAAAACAAGTACTTATAAATTAAATAATAATTTTATTATAGGACTTGTATACTATCTTCTTTTTTCCCAACAGAGTACTTTGCCTGAAATAAGAATTTATGAAGTAGGACCAAGAGATGGTTTGCAAAATGAATCTAAGTTTGTTCCAACGGACATAAAGATCGAACTCATTCATAAACTTGCTGCAGCTGGAATCAGAAACATTGAATCTGCAAGGTTTGTTTATTTTTTAACATTAATAATCAATTGTTTGTTTTGCAAGTTATAATTCCAAAATTAAATTACTTGTAGTTTTGTTAGCCCAAAATGGGTAAAGCAAATGAGTGATGGCATGGAAGTTATGAAGAATATTATAAGGACCCCAGGGGTCAACTATCCTGTTCTTATACCAAATTTGAAGGGTTATGAAACAGCTGTAAGTAAGAATTGTAATTTGTTTGATGATACTAATCTTCCACTGTTATTCTCATATAAGTGCTAACATTGATTGATTTTCTTTTCTTTCTTTTATTGTGTACATATGAGAAACATGGTAATCATGACAAATATGATAATTCACTTTGTAATTTTTTCTATATGTATGATTATGATGTCACAACTACAAGATAACAAAGGGCTTAGCTTTCCATTGACGTCCGTTGAGTTGGAGGTTGATATTTTTTTTACAGAAAGGATACATTATTATAAGGACACACTCAAAGTTTCAACATTTGGAGACACATACTTTTTGAGAAAAAAATATTGAAAATCAACTATTTTTACAATATTTGTGTCAATTGCTACTGTAAAACTGACGCCATTTTGTATTGTCGTTGTCAGTAGGGATGTTGATTCTTTCTGAAAAAGTTTGATTTTTTTAAATCGATTCGAATTGTAAGCTGATGTATCGATTCACAAAAAATCGATTTCTAAATATCTTTATTTTTCATGTTTGCATTTATAATGTAAATATAAATCCATTTTATGAGAAAGAAATCCCCAACTCGACGGACATCAATGGAAAGTTGTATCCTAACAAAGTTTTGTAAAGAATACTTGTTCATTATAACAATACAAATTTTGTAGATTAAATGCAATATTGAAGAAATTGCAATATTTCCTTCTGGTTCTGAGGGGTTTTCTCAGAAAAATTTAAACTGTTCTGTTGAAGAAGGCTTAAAAAGATTCAAAGAAGTAGCAGTTCAAGCTTTAAAGGATGGCTTAAGAGTAAGGGGTTATGTATCTTGTGTGGTAGGATGTCCATATGATGGCCCTGTCAACCCTAAATCCATAGCCAAGGTATAAAATATTTTTTATTTAATTTGTATATAACGGAGGGGCACACTGAGATGATCAGGAATAGAATATTTCGGATTAAGTTACAATAAAACCTTTTTTAGAATTTGAATACTGGCCTCTTAGAATCTTAATGACATTCAAACAGTTAAAAAAATGTTTAAAAACAAAAACCATGTTGGTTTAAAGTTGACACGTCTTTAACAGAAATGGAGCTCACGCGGGAACTTTTCCGTGCCATAATATATCACAATTTTGGTCGCGCCTTATCTCAAGATAAATGTCTCAGCGAACTTGTTTCGATTTATGATGTTGAAGCACCGAGTCAAACGACAATATACCGCTAGTATGCCGAGTTCCGACGCGATCGTGTGTCGCTCAGCGGTTTCTTCTGCAGGTCGACCAAGAACAGCGGTCAAGCCTGAAAACATCGCAGCTGTGCGAACTATTATATTAGATGACCGTCATGTGATATACAAGCAGATTCGGGCTGTTATCAGTATCGGAATGACTGCAATTCAGTCGATATTACATAATGAGCTGTGTGTAAGAAAGCTAGTTTCCCGCTGGGTTCCCCACAATTTGTCCGAAGAGCAAAAGGCGGCTCGTGTAGATTGGTGCCGGAATACTCTGCAACGCTTCAACAGAGGGAAGTCAAATGCCGTTTATAATATCGTATCACGTGACGAATCATGGATTTATTCATACGAACCTGAAAGAAAACAACAGTCAACAGTTTGGGTCTTCGAAGACGAGGTCTAACCAACGAAAGTGGTTCGCTCCCGCAGCGTGTCAAAGAAAATGGTCGCTACATTTGTCTCCACAAGGGGGCATGTTGCTACAATTCCTTTACAGGAATGCAGAACGGTTACCACTGAGTGGTATATCACAGTTTGTTTGCCAGAAATGATAGCCGAACTCCGAAAAAATAACCCGAAACGTCGCATCATTTTACATCCCGATTATGCGAGCTCCCATACGGTTCGGAAGACAAATGATTTTTTGAAGCAGGAAAACGTTGAGCTGATGAGCCATCCTCCGTACAGTCCTGACCTGAGCCCAAACGATTTCTTTACATTCCCTAGAATGAAAGATTTACTACGCGGTCAACGGTTTGAAGACCCCGAAGCAGCTGTGGAAGGTAAAAATCAGCCATTTTGTCAACATCAACTTCAGACTGGAATTACTGTTTTAATGATTGGTTTGCACGAATGGAGAGGTGCATTAAGTTTAACGGAGAATACTTCGAAAAACAATAAAATACAATTTAGCTATACCGTGCATGTGGTTTTTCTTATTTCCGATCATTTCAGTGTGCCCCACGTATGTTTAATTTGGAAGCTGTAAAATATTCTTAAAATAGTTCTAAAAAACAACAGTAGCCCTCTGGTTAAGGTTGTGGATATAAATAAATTCAGTAAGTTGATAGTTCCAATCTGTCATGTGCCGCTTCTAACACAAGCAGTATAAAGCTTACTTGGGGGTAATAAGCGGGGGTATTCTTAATGTTAATATCATTAATAGTATTCTTTTAAGAATAAAATAAATAGGAATTATGATCACTTAAAAATGTCTAGAATTATTTTTAATTAAACTATAACAGTGTTTTCATAATAATATCTCTTAATAAAATTAATTTTTTATTTGATAATTGAAGGCTTATCGAAAAAAAATTCAACATTGATACCTACTTAAATTTTCCCAAAATAAACTTTTAGATAACTGAAGAGCTGCTTGATATAGGTTGCTATGAAGTTTCTCTTGGTGATACAATAGGAGTTGGCACTGCAGGATCAGTGCAACGACTTCTGCGTGAAGTACTAACGGTTGCCAAACCAGAAAATCTAGCATTGCATTTCCATGATACATATGGGCAAGGTCTGTCAAATTTGCTTGCAGGCTTAGAGGTAATTTCATTATTTATCTTTTTGTTCTTCTGATCATAGTGCAACATAGTAATAAAAATAATGTTGTCTAGACTGAATTTCGGTCACGTCAGCCAGTCTTAACCGCGCAGAACAGGATTATATATATAGTGCCTGAGTGTTTGCGCGAACACAGTAGCACTCTATCAGCTCAGTCTCATAATCTGACGTAATGTTAATCTGACACGACCAACGACGAGAGAGATCAGACCAGACAAAGGAGTAACGGCTTTACGTGCTTTCCGAGGCACGGGGGTAAATTTCTTGAGAGAAAAACCCAATAATTGATTTTGTCTCGACCCTGGATTTGAACCCAGAACCTCATGATCAGCAATCACGTTTATGACCACTAGACCAATGAGGCAGTCGAGGAGATGGTAAATAGTGATTACAACAGTATCTTTTATAAGCTGCTGTTAAATTGACTTGGCTACTATCTCACCTGATGGTAAGTGGAGATAATGATTAAAAAATTGAAAAAGTAATGATCGATTTTAAAGCACTAAAAATATGAAATAATTTCGATGCAATAGCTTCTGAAGTCGGGCTTTGATTCTTTTACCATACACTATGTCTTAGCACCAACTTCAGAAGGTATTATGACGCAAATATTTTATTATGTTTAGTTCTTTGTAGTTTACTTTTTATTTTACTATTTATATTATTTTATAAAAGTTTAATTTTATTTCTTTGATATTCGGCAACTAGAAAAAAAAACACATGGTACTGTTTAGCCTCGGTCACAAACAGCGAATACTCGCTATATATACACGTGTGAGGCTATTTGTTGGGAATGGTTCATTCATCGCGAGTTGAATTCGATTTAAATATTAATAATTTTTTCAAATTTCGTTTCCCGTCGTATACTAAACTACCTAAAGTCAAGAAAAGCTAAACCCCTTAGCTATTTCGTGCATAGAGATGATTATTTTGCGAATAGAAAAGTGAGTGTAGAGAACCGGAGACCCTTTTTACTGGAAACCGAGGCATTCCCTCTTAGTCCTCACGGGTGACAACGCATCTGCATTTTGATTCGTAATCGAGGATAAATGTAGATGTCTTTGGGCCACAGCAACCACTTACCACCAGGTGGACTGTGTGCTCGTTTGTCACCCTTATCCTATAAAAAAAAGGTATTGTAAAACTTTCATAACTTAATTAATTGAATTTTTTCTTCAATATCAGCCGGATTGTTACTAGGTAATTGAATATATTATATTTAAACTGTAAGTAACCGCAATAAAAATTATTTAATAACATTTAACGTTTAAGTAGTATTAAGGCATACCTTACCCCGCCTTATTAGAAGTACATGATTGAGAAACAGAAACAGAAACTTTTTTATTCAATATAGATTATAAATAATACTTATTGAAAGTCACTCTTTTGTATAATTACCACTGGTTCGAAAAAAAAACCTCTGTCCTGGGAAGAACCAGCAAGAAACCCAGCGGGATTTTTTTTAAATAACAGCTTACAATCATATATGTTACACAAATTAACAACACAACAAATTAGAAATAGCTTGGTAGCGATCACCTCATTTCCAGGAGTAATTATCATCTATAAATTCATTAATATTATAATAACCCTTTTTATACTAACTTAGTTAAATAAAGTTTATTGAACGTTGAGCAGGTCAAATTTTGTATATTTTCTGGAATTTTGTTGTAAAAGCGTATACATCGCCCCAAGAATGAATTACTGACTCGATGGAGTCGAGCTTGTGTCTGTTCCTAGTATTTACAGAATGAATATCACTTATTTTTGTAAAACTACTTTTATTTTTGTGTACGTACATTACATTTTCATAAATGTATTGAGAGGCCAAAGTTAATATATTAATTTCCTTAAATTTTTGACGCAGCGCCTCTTTAGGCTTTAAATCATAAATTGCTCTTATGGCCCTCTTCTGTAAAACAAATATAATTTCAGTGTCAGCTGCGTGTCCCCATAGCAAAATACCATACGACATTGTGCTATGGAAATAGCTAAAGTAAACTAGTCTAGCTGTTTCAACACTAGTTAGACTTCTAATCTTTTTTACGGCATATGCTGCAGAACTATGTCTGCTTGCTAGTTTTGATGTATGGGGGCTCCATTGAAGCTTAGCGTCTAGTGTGATTCGAAGAAAAATGGTGGTATCTACAAGACTCAGTTTCTCCCCATTTAAATTTACATTAGTATTTAATTGTTTGACATTTGGAGTCATAAATTTCATACATTTCGTTTTAGTGCCATTTAAATGCAAATTATTAACATTGAACCAATTTACTAATTTAGATATAGCATTATTTACTTCGTCATATTTTAGCAATTGTCGACTTAATTTGAAAATTAAAGAAGTGTCATCTGCAAATAATACTATATCATGGTTATCTCCTACTATGTAACGTAAGTCATTGATGTATATAAGAAACAGAAAGGGGCCGAGAATTGAGCCTTGAGGCACGCCCATTTGTACCATCGACACGGAAGAACTCATACTGTTAATGACAACTTTTTGCGTTCTCTTACTTAAATGTGAAATAATTAATTTAAGAACATCACTTGTTACACCGTAGTGTTGAAGTTTCCTGATTAATGTTTCATGGTGAACACAATCGAAGACTTTGGATAGGTCATAAAATATATCCAAAGCATCCTGTGAATTCTCCCATGCATTAAATATATATTTAATCAGCTCAACACCGGCATCAGTTGTCCTTGTGAAGCTTTTATTAGCTTTTCCTGAACTTTTATTAGCTCAGAAATTTAGCCAAAAGCTATTTCTTGTGCAATCTTAACTAAATCGTTGAGTTGTAAAGGTAATCTGGGAACTGACACATCGATTTTCTAGTTCACAACAATTATATTAATGATGAGAAACGGGTGGTGTAATTAGAACGATAATGCACAAATCATGAACTTACAATTTCATTGACAAAAAAATTGTAATTAATGTGTAGGATATCGGTAGGGGCGGCAAAATTAGAATAGCTTACTGGCGGCAAATAGGTAAATCCGCCACTGCCTACGTATGAAGTTCGTCAGTTTGTTCGCATAGGTTTTTTGACTATTGGAACATTTTTTGAGGGACCGGGATTGTTAGCCGACGTGCCTTCACTTCCTTGCAAAGCTTTCGCCCATCCTCTTTTGTTGCAGTTTTGCCACTAAACAAAAATTCATATAATTCTTGAAGTTTTCATTTTTTCTATATATTCATAATAAATCATAACGCAAAAATCACGTCGAATGAGTTTCATTGCTTTGAAATAATTCCCGCCGCATTTTCCAAGTAAAAATATGTAAAATAATAAATGTTCCATTTTTAAATTTATCAGTGAATATCCAACCTTATAACTTGCCAGTTTCAAAAGAACATGAGTAAACAGTATCTAACTTCATTTGGCACGCACTCTGTACTTACAATTTTGCAAAAAAGTATTAGCTAAAGTGGAAGTGGAAATAGGGAGAAGGATTTTCATTAAACAATGTACCAGACAACAAATAAAGTATTGTATTTATCCGAAGATCTATCATTTGCAACAAGTTCCTACTTCCGCACAATTATTGAACAAAAAAATACTACAGTTAAAATATTTTATTTTTCAGTTTGGTATTAAGACTGTGGATTCGTCTATATCTGGTCTCGGTGGATGTCCATACGCACGTGGCGCAACTGGAAACCTAGCTACAGAAGATCTAGTCTACTTTTTGTATGGCCTAGGAGTTAATACAAATATCGATCTAGTCAAATTAGTCGAAGCAGGTCGCTTCATATCAAATTTTCTGGGAAAAACGACAGAGTCAAGAGTAAATAGAGCCATTAGTGATAGATTTAAAAATCACTCTGATATTGTAAAAATAGCAGCCTGTATAAGCCAATAAGTGACGATAAAAGTGTTTATTGGAACAATAATTGTGTACATAAATGTGTAATAAATCATTCCTTTTTTTAAAGCATTGTCTTATTTATCATTTTAATATTATACAAAATGTATATTTATCACACATTGACGAAGGTTCTTCCGCAAGAAAACAACAGAATATGAGGTTGATAATATAATTTAATAATAAGTTCTTAAAGTAAAGTTTCCATTTACTATTGAAGGAAAATTTGGTTATATTAATTTTAATACATTTTATACTAAAATACTTCGAGTTGTATCTAAATTTTCATACCTGGAAGTAAGATATAGGTTTTTATGGAGAAAATTATAAAGAATTGGAGAAATTACTTTCTGCTTATTTAGACTTTGTACACAGGCTAAGAAGAGTACTTGCGTACTTCTGTAGTTCATACTTGATTTAAAAAAGGCGCGTTATCGTTTAGATATTACTTTGACCTCTAATAAAAGGGCAACAAACTCCAGATAATCGAGCGTAACATTGTTGTCCAGGACATATTTTTGATCCATATAAGATTGCAAAAATGAATTCAGTTATTAAAACGGAAAAGTTAAATATTGGCGGTAGTCATCCGTGTTTTATTATAGCTGAAATTGGACAGAATCATCAAGGCGATATCGAGATCGCAAAAAAGCTTATAAAAGCGGCTAAGGTAAGTTTTATTGTAACAATGTCTATTAAATTTACACCTTTGTCCGTTAACAATCAAAAGGAAATTGTATCACTTCAATGCATTAAGGAAACAGACTAAGTTTTATAGTGTTTCTTGTTAATTTAATTTTTTTATATAATATACCTAATAGAATAAAAACATTATATAACATATACGTACTATAAATTATTATTAAATTCGGTGAAAGTACCGAATAGATTTACCAAAACTCTTTGTCGGGGCCATGGTACTATAATCTCGGTGCCTAAGTATAAGAATATTAACTGTTGCTTCTCAATACGTATACTCTAATATACTATTTGTTAGGAAAAATATACATACATATAATAAATATAGTGACATACATGACCTTAATACTAAAAATAAAAATAGGTATACTTGTACCATTTTTTAGACTAAAGAAAACTTACAATTCATTTATGTATTATATAAGGCATTCGATTTTTCAACAAAATACCTGATTCAATGCTTGACTTGCCTTTATATAAATTTAAAAAGTATGTAAAAATACTTTGATAAGAAAAGCATAATAATTGACAATTACATTAATGACATAAACCCATGGTCATTTGAAAGTCAATCAAGTTCCACACAGAATAATCTCAACACAATAACTTAACCAAATTAGTATCATTTTATATTATAATCAATTATTTTTTTATGTCTATAAATTATATATATATATATATATATATATATATATATATATATAATGTTTACATTAATAGAAACTGTTATCTGTTAAAATTAGTTGTTTTGTTGAATTGTATTTTTTTTTGTGTTTCTCTTATACTTGTTCTTTCGCTTGACCATTCATAAGATTTTATATTTCGCTTATATATGAGCCTGTGTGAATAAAAATAAATAAATAAATATAAATATTTAGAAAGGAGAATATCCAAGACGGGACAATCGCAAAGGATCTGAATATCTAGTATATAGTAGATATAATATAGTAGAGCATTAATATACATCCTTACCTTTTGCAGATGTGTTTCAAATGTATAAAATAGTTGAAGTTAAAAAGTATTTGGAAATACTATTGACTTTTCTATATTATTTTGATAATTACAGGATTCTGGCGCTGATTGTGTAAAGTTCCAAAAAAGTTGCCTAAAAGAAAAATTTACTAAAAAATGCTTAGATCGATGTTATGATAATTGTAATTCCTGGGGCAAAACGTATGGTGAACATAAGAGACATTTAGAGTTTTCAGAAGCCCAATATGAAACTCTGTTCAAGTATGCAAAAGACATTGACATCCTTTTCACTGCCTCCGCTATGGACATGGTAATACATAGAACACTACATAATATAACGAAGAAATATTGTCTATAAATTATGGAGACACCGTCATTGTTATTTTCCATGCAGCCTATAAAAGCCTACCTTTGAACCTGGGTCTCCCCTTAGATTGCTTCGTAGGGGAATTCGCCATAGTTGCCATGATTGGCAGACGGGTTCACAATCGCAGTTTTTTAATTATTTTTAGTTATTATCGGGAAGATGCTGCTGCCTATCTTCTGTTTCAATTTCTCCAGTATTCCACAGTCGGCCTCTTGCGACACCCACGGGACGATGTGGGCTAGAGGATATTCTTAAACCGCCACTATACGGTGTTGTTGTTATTATTCATCATCAGTGTTTCACGTGGTTAATATCATTAAATTATTGGAAGCAACGTAAGTACGAAATTTTCGATTCAGTAGTTCAATCAACCCGCCTGCCCTTTTGAGTTGAGTAAGGATAACTCAAGAGATACATGCTAGTTGAAACATATTTTTTTAAACATTACCTTCACATTAGAAGTTTCTCCTGGAACAATTATTTGTAGGCCACACAAATACTTGTTCTGTACGGGATTCTAACTCGCCACGGAGCCGTCAAATTATTTTTTATTAGAAAAATTAGAAAGGTCCAGCTTAGAAAGAGAAGTGGTTATATTTGCAGTGGCCTTTTAAAGATAAATTGTACGCAACTTATGTATTGAATGTCAGATTGCTGTTGTCAGATAAATGTCGGGTAATTTAGATATCTATTGTTATTGAATTATAGAAATTAAGTAGTCCGTGTAATGGGACATTTATTTTGTAGACTGTTGGTTTAATAATTATAATACACTAGCTGAATCTGTAGAAGTAGCTTTGCCCTCTCCGGTAGGTAGCGTAATGATTTTTGCTTAGAATTCACACCGTAATTTTACAGTTTAAATATAAAATTTATTGATATTTCGACTAAAGCGCCACCTATCGGGTTCAGCTTAGACGATTTTTTGGCCCTAAACCAACTTATTTAGTGAATATTGATCTATAAAAATATAGAATTTGTTAATCACTTGACTACTGCGCCACACATCGGATGATGCATAGCTATGAAAAAAAAAAGTTGTTCAGAAATAACACGATCACTAACATAGGCACCAATAATACACTAAACAGTCATCAGTATTTACATCATCATTATCACTACACTTCACAAGTTCATATAAAATTATAAAAAAAAATATGATGTATCCTGAAAATGAACCTTCACAGAGCTCCATATCACTACTGTGGTAAAGGTGGGCAGATTATTGTTTTAAAAGGTTACTGCATTTCTGCAATTTTATACTAAAAAGCGTACATGACGTTTAACAATTTTATTTACTAATTCGGTACCTTTATCGACTACACATAATTCTTTGCTTATGTATTCTAAGTACACAAACCCGTCATCACCATTATCGTTATTTAATGTGTATTTTCAGGTTTCGTTTGACTTTTTACTGAACTTGGGTGTTCCTTTCATTAAAATTGGCTCTGGTGATTCCAACAATCTTGTTTATGTCAAGTATGCTGCATCCAAGGAGATTCCGCTGGTAGTTTCGACAGGAATGGTGGATAAGTCTACTGTGAACTGTATCTACGATTTTATATCAGCTCAACATAAACTATTCTGCTTGCTGCATTGCGTGTCTGCGTACCCAACACCATACGAAGACTGCAATTTAATGGTGCTGCAAGATTACGGTAATAGTTTTGACGTTTGTGTGGGCTACTCTGGTCATGAACTCGGTACTGCTGTGGCTGTAGCTGCTGTCGCTTTAGGAGCAAAGGTAAGACGATACCAATACCCTAAATAATATACTTATACAGTAGGTATGACGTTGACGACCTCTTGACCGAATTTCGACTACGGTGTCAATTCCGAAATAATCTACGAAATAGAAACTATCAACTCCTCAGGAGATTGTGTGCTTCAAGTTTAGGTACGCGTAACCACAGACGCTCATTCATCCTTCTTCTATTTCAAATTCAAATTTATTTTTATTTGTGAATAACAAATCCAAATTTCTTTGAATAACCGGCCAATTGCGAGTCGGACTCGCGCATGAAGGGTCCCGTATCATCGTAAGACACGTTTCTAGTATGTCAGGACCCTTATTTTTTTTTAATTTGTATTATTTGCTGTGATAGCGGCAACAAAAATACACATTCTATGAAAATTTCAATTGTCTACCTATTACGGATCATAAGATACAGCCCGCTGACAGACAGACAGACGGACAGCGGAGGCTTAGTAATAGGGACGCGTGAGTGTTTCTAATTCGTTTGTGGTAATAGGGTCCCGTTGGACAGCCTTCGAGAACGGAACCCTAAAAAATTATGTTCGCTACATTCAACCTTTAGGTATACAAATATAATAATAATTAAATCTACTAAATTACTACAATTAAATTATTTCATTATATTAATTGTATTTTAATTATATTGAAATGCTTCACATAAATTGCGTTGTCATTTAATATACAATGATGTAACTAAATAATTGTATATTAATTACATAGAATATTACCACGTTTTTATCAAATCACTTTATTGTTTGGCTGTCGTTCCGGGTGGAATGTAGCAATTTTTTTTAAAAATTCACTTGTTTACCATAAGATAAAACAAATGTCAAAAAAGTGATATATGCAATGTCATTATAATATTCATCAGCCCATAAAACTTTACTGTCGAACGTGTGCCTCTTCCGTTGATTTGCCTTGATTGGTGATACTGCGACCGTCAATCCTCCTGCAGGGCTAGCATGGGCAGGAGACAATTTTAGCCCCGGGGAAAGGAGACAATGTTTATCCTCTCGCTTAGATTTATCCACCCTTCGAGAATGGGCACACCGGTGGATATGATATCCACAGTATTGAATAAAAACTATTTTTACGAATTTTATCGCGTTTAATTAACTTATTTTATATTCCCGCCGTTTCGGTTACTTTCCAGCAACCGTGGTCACGGGGGAGCTCCCCCGTGACCACGGTTAAGTTAAT